AATAAACGTTGCCATGCATTATCGTGACAGGGTGCGCGTAGTGTCATGTGTCATTCATTCATCCCTTGAGTTAGGTGTCTTTTATGAGCTTGAATGATTCACAGGTAAATATTTAGTGGCTTGACACACAAAAAGACTGCTCTGAAAATACAAAGAAATAAGGGCTGGCTCAAGACTGTGCCTCTGCGTCCCTCCACAGTGGACTTTAAATCAATAAGGCTGTAACCGTGGCGCAAACACCCAGCTTGAATCCAAGGGGTTTAACAGGATTTTTGCATTACACGTGTAGGAATTAAAGGTATTTTTATACACAGCCAGTTTCTTGGATGAAAATCACAGAAGTGAAGCTTTTGTTTTTCCCTGGTGATTACACGAGTCTCATATGAAAGCATGAAGCAGGAACTGATGGGAGGATTATTTTCGTCCGTCACTCACCATGACGAGGGTAAAATCTCTGAAGGAGGGTGCTGAGCTCTGCGAGGAGATAAACATGGTGCTGTTCAGCCAGCAGGCACACACGACCCTACAAGCCTTCAGATAAACAAACTAAATTAAAAGTTAGACGTCTAAATTACAATCCCAAGGCAACTTTCGCTTCTATTTTCATTCCTCGCGTTGTGGACCTGCTCGGCTCTGTGTCGACTGTTGATGACGGTTTCAGTACCACGCGGGGATGCCCAAGTTAAATGTTACAGTGAAGCTTTGTTTGTTTTTTAATAGTTTTAAGTAGACTTCTTTAACAAGCATCCACAGATTTGTTTAAAGCTCCAAATGTTTTTTTTTTACTTACTGTCATTTAAAGTGGTGTTTTATGTGTTTCTATTACGATCAGGCATGTTAACGGTCAGACTGTAGCTCTGCAAAGATTTACTGCGCGTTAGAGATCCTCAACTCTGTTGCCTCAACTGTGCTGTGTTCATTTATCTATCGATACATACATCCATAGATCCATCCACCCATCCGTCCGTCCCTCCTTCTGTCCTTATATGTACTATTGTATGTGTGGTAAAAACATACATAATTTATTTACACTCGGCAGAATTGCACATATAAATATATATACATGCTTCACAGAAGCATCAGGAGTCAGCTGATGTTCATTCACGCTTCCTTTCATTTTTATTCTATTTTTATTTCTCTTTAAATGAAGGATGCCTTCAAGGATGTGGTAAAGGGTTAATATATTCCTCTCCAGCTTGTTGTGCTTAAAGTAAGATTAAAGGTGGTGTAGAAGATGAAAATTGCATAACAATCAGACATGTAAGTTACTAAAGAGAAACAGCTTTAATTAGTCAGTTTGCAACAGGTCAGTAACATGGTTGGGCATAAAAAGAGCACCAGAGTGGCCGAGTGTCTCAGAAGTAAAGATAGCCAGAGGGTCAACAATCAAGTTTACAAATTCCGAAACAATTTTAGAATAATGTTCCTGAATGTAAACTTTATGAAGATTCTGAGAATCTGTAGGAATCTCTGGGCGCAACAGACAAGGCTGAAAAATCGATACAGGATGTCCGTCATCTGTGGGCAAGGCGTTAAAGGCAGGCCTGATTCTATCATGGATATCCCTACATCTGTCACAGGGTGGAAGTAATTTTAATCTTTTATTCTGTGAGTTTCACGGTGTCTGCATGCTTTTATTTTGAAAGTGAACTACTTCCAGCCCACATCTCCCCAATTAAAATAATGTCTTCTCTGGGCTAAAGCTAATTTAAACTGAACTGAGGCAAAGTGAAAAACTGTTCTATGGTCAGACGAGACAAGATTTGAAATCTTTAAAGTCAGATGTGGTAAACAAATTATGAAACGAACTGAAGAAGATTTCAATGTAAGGGTCTTCAAGCAGCTTTTTAAACTTTTTTAATGTGTCTGAAACAAGCAGAGCATCATTTAAAACACAACTTAATGATTCTGTTTACACTGTATGCAAGAAGCCATTAACCCTGAGTGCCTCACATGTAAGAGTTCATCATTATTATTATGTGATGTACCGCTCTGGCTGCAGAGCGTGGGTGTCTTCAGAGACATATTACCTGGGTAAAGGTTCAGGATGAGTCACATCTAAAGCTGCTGCTCGAATTTCTCCAGACTGCAGAGCTTTGACTAAAGCATCCTGATCAACAACCAGACCTGAAACATGAAAAGTCACAAAATCAGGCTGAAACTCCGAGACTGGTGAAGACTCGCAGTCACAGTATCCTCACCTCTGCTGACGTTGACCAGGGTTGCAGTGGGTTTCATGAGGGACAGCTCCCTGTGGCTGATCAGGCCTTTGGTTTCAGGGGAAAGGTTGACAACGAGCACAACAAAGTCGGCCTCCCTCAGCAGGTCATCCATGTTCTCACAGTAACTCGCCCCCACTGACTGCTCATCTTCAACGCTCCTGAACAGCACAAAAAAAAAAAGCAATCACAAATGTACAGTTAATGCTGCCAAATTTAGTAATGTCAGATTTCTTTAAAAGCTGGGATTCAAAAACACTATAGTGCCAAAAGCATTTGCTCACAAAACACACGATGACCTTATATGAATGTCGTGTTTTTAATTCCGCTCCGGACTCGTGAATCTCAACCCAGCAGCAGCGGTAACGTTTGCACGTCCTCTCCCGTTAATGCGGCAGGTAAATAATCAACTAACAGTGCATATTATGTTAGCGCGATCTGCCTTATTACAAAGCCTGCCATTACTGTGCATTTAGGTGACCATGATGAGACAGACAGAGTCTGGCTGGCTCAGATGCTGGCAGTTCTCGCTGCAGTCTACAGGTAGCATCTCCTTTCGGGCAGGATAGACGAAAGTTCAGTAAGTGAATGTGTTTAATTGTAGGCAGGGACATTACTGGATATTCTTGTGTAATTGCTACAGAATAATTTATTTTATTCTTTGCTATTGCTACAGAAGAATATTTATTTTATTATTTTACGTTTACAATTTTTTTTTCCTGGGGACCCTGTGACACCCCATTGAAGAGCCATAGGCTGGATCTCTTAAGATCTCACTGTTGGGTTTGTAAGGCCATGTTACTCCTAAATTTCTATCTTGTTTAAAGAAAAGATATAAAACAAAGTTCTAAGCTAATCGACCTCAGTGTTCTCCTTTTTTAAAAAGAATTGATAAGAGAATCGATAAAGAATTGAATCGTTAAACAGAATCGAAAACGGAATCGGAATCGTGAAAATCTTATCAATACCCTTCCCTATTTACAACGCTACATCTGAGTTTTGCATTGGGTGAGTGAATACTTCTGGCAGTAGTGAAGTACTGTGTATCTATTCAAGTCACTTTAGCAGGATTTTTTGGATCTGTTCGATGAATTGGTGCTTACCTTCTGTGTCTGTTGTGATACAGGATCTTCATATCAAACCCTTTGCTTCTCTGAGCAATTTTGTATCCGATGTGTCCCATTCCGATGATCCCCAGAGTCGACCCGGTGACTTCGACTCCCACCAGGCTTTGTGGTATACTGGTAGTCTTGGGGTCAACAGCTATTTGGTGACCTATGAGAAACATTGCCATATTTCCAGTTTAAATATCTTTGGGTTTTACTCAAACTGCTCCACCCTGGGATCAGATTTCAACCTTTGACCTCACCTTCAACTATCTTTCTTGCGGATGCCAGCAGCAGACCCATAGCCATATCTGCAGTGGCGAC